AGAGAGAGAGAGAGACTGAGAGAGAGAAATGGCGGACGAAGAAGAAGCAGAGCTTAGCGAGAAGCAGAAGAAAGAAATAGCAAAGTGGTTCCTTCTCAACTCTCCTCCAGGAGAAATCCAATTCGTTGCCAAAGGTCTCACCTTTGACCCCAAAGCGGCACTCTTTCTTCACATTTCTTTCGCTTTCTCTAATTTTGTTTCATTTTTTAATTTCAATTTTTGATCGATCATGTGAATCGCATTTTGTATTTGGTGTTTGGGTTTGGTGGCAGATGTGAAGGCGGTACTGAACGACGACGTTTTGTACGAGGAGGCTGCGTCAGAGGCATTCCCACTGTATAACAAATCCCACTTGATTTCCCTCGAAATGCCCGGTCGAATTGGAGACGTATGTTTTCTTATTATTTTTTCTGTTTATTTTTTTTCAGTTGAAGTCTCGACTTTTCTGAATAAAGGCTCCCTCTTGGTTTTAGTGTTTCATTTCGACGAATTTTGGAGCTGTAATTTTATGAAATATGAACTTTTTTACTCTTTTTGTTGTATGTATTTGTGCTCATTGTTTGTTCTTTCTAAAATATATGGAATTGTGTGCATATATGGATTATATCTACTTATCTTTTTTGTGTGAACAGGTTATAGTTACATCATTTGGACAGCTGAATGAGACTGAGTTCATTGATCCCAGGACTGCTCAAGTTGCTATAGTTAACCACATCAAACAGGCAAGTCTTATGCTTCCACACACCTAATATAAAAGCTTTCCATGTATTTTTGTTACCTCTGTTTGTAATTACATCCTATTTGATTTTGTCATCAAAGTTTTGTTACCAATTATTTCATCATAATGTGCTAAAATTGGTTCAGGTTTGTACAGAGGTGAGACCTGCTCTGGATGAGGAACTTCCATCAGCATATGTTGAGGAATTTCGGTATGCTTTTCTAAGTTTTATGGCAAGAAATTCTTTGCATTTTGTATTCTCTAAGATAGTTGACTTAATATTAGGGCCTCTAGTGCTCTGCTTCATGTCAGGCATGCATGTTGATGTGCGTATTCCAAGTAATTTTACATGGCCAAAGTATTCGACCCTGCAGGAACTACTTTCTTTGTCAATTTTGATATACCAAAGCAATTTTTACTTGCTACAGTAAACTGAGGTTTGAGGATGCCTTTCCATAATGGCCGAGAGAGAACTTTGCAATAAACTTGTTACTTATGATCAAGTTATCTTTTGAGCGTGCTTGTTCATATGGCTATACAAGAATGAAAAATTATTGACAGCTTTTGGAATTGGAAACATAGCATACAAAGAACCGAACTTGTTTTTATTTTATACAAATTTATAAATAAACCCAATCCTAGACATGTATTTATAAAAAAATCCAAACACTATTTAAACATCGAAACACACCCAAAATCAACAATTGTATATTTTTTGGGTGTGTTTATAAATGGGTTTTGAGTGTGTGTAATGATGAGTTTTGGGTGTGTTTATAAAGTGTTTTGGGTGTTGGGTTTTTTTATAATTTCAACCCTCATTTTGGGTGTCTTAGTGAAACTCCCTTTATTTTATTCATGTGTGTATTTTTGTGTGTGCATACGTGCACTTGTGTATAATTCCGCATTCCTTTGTGTCAGGTGTGCTCTCGATGCAGAAATGCTTAAATATGTTGATGAAGCTTATCCAAAGGGAATTTGCTCAGTGTACTGTGGCAATGGTAAAGATGTAGAGGGCCCAGGATCTGACTTTGAGCTTGTAGTGGTGATTTCAGCTGCTAGACATAGCCCACAAAATTTCTGGTGCGTGAAATTAGTTATATACCCAATCCATGAGCTTGTTATTGCTCTTTAGTTTTGTATTTCAGTTAGAACAAAATGTATATCTAGTCTGTACCAACAAATGTGTCCTGTTATTACACCAGGTCATTTTGCTGTTACAAATACAGTTAGGTTTTCTTTTTTTTCCTTTTTTACATGGCCATCTTCTGATATAGTTTAATTTGCATGTTCCATAGCAACGGTAGTTGGCGCTCGGTATGGAACATTGAGTTCAAAGATGAATTACAAATGCTGGAATTGAGCGGCAAGCTGCAGGTATTTGTTGTTTTGGACTTGGTGCATGTCTGCAGACTGGTTTCTTTGTCTCTATGCAATTCAGACTGCAGTAATTTGCTTGGTTCATAGTATAAGAACCTAACCATGAGTTAACTGTTTCTCATCTACGTCCTCCATTCTTATCCTTTCAGGTGGGTGCGCACTATTTTGAGGAGGGAAATGTGCAATTAGATGCAAAACATGAATGCAAAGATACAACAATTTTTCAGGTTGAAGTTAAGATATGACTATTGCCATGTGTTGTCATTTTTATTTTGGTATTACTTGGGATGATTTATCTTGCAAGGTCTCTACAGCAACGGTATAATTAAATTTGATATTGTGATGCTTAAGCATTGGATAGTTCCCATGTCGTGCTTTACATTATTGATAAAACATTTCCTGTTGCTTTTTAAACTTTTTGTCATAGCTTACAGATGTGTCCCTTTTTTTCACCTATTTGATGCCTTCTTTTCTTGATTGATATGCCTCATGTACGTTGCAGTCCTCTGAAGATAGTGCAATTGCCATAGGCAACATTATTCGCCAACATGAGACAGAGTACTTGTCATCTCTCGAGGTTCAAAACATCCCACTTTCTTCAGTTTATAGCTGATGTAGTTCTACTTATTGAGCTTTTTACTAACAAATTTACTTGTGCAGGAATCCTATTCAAACTTGCCTGATACCACTTTCAAGGTACCATTGACTTCAACTGACCCTGAAGTTAAACTTTTTGTATATTGGTACAATGGAACATATTTGGACATGAGACGTCTAACATAAACATGAAACACATTTGCAGAAAAAAAATGTTTCTATATTATGTCTGAGCTCAAAACCATTCCAGTTTTGTTAAATCTGTATTATGTTTTAACAGGAGATTGATACCAGTGCTAACCTTCAAAACTTAATGTGATGCAGGATCTTCGAAGAAAGCTTCCAGTTACCCGCACCTTATTTCCATGGCAAAATACGTTGCAGTTCAGCTTGACAAGAGACATTACAAAAGAACTTGGCATCGGAAAGTGAATTCCGCCTGTTCAACTGAAAGAACGAGTTTCTTCCCATCTAGACCCATAGCTTGAGTATGCCAGTCATACTTAGCGCTGACTATCTGTCGTTCCATTTTCTCGTTTCCATTCTGAGTCATGTCCTTTGCCATTGAAGCTTCTTTCCCTCAGTTTTGGTGCTTGTAATATAATTGTTATTTATGTCGTAAATAGTAAAAGGGTTGTGGCTGATTCTCGTTGTGTTATAAACTTGTAACTACTGAAGCTGTCGAGGAGTTTGTAATTTTATGTATTCTGAGGAGTGGCTTAATTTGTGCCTTTTCTTTCTACAAAGTGGAGATTTAAATTAGATAAGTTTGTGATATGTGTGGTTCAGTGGTTACTAATTAACCATTAATCTCTGGACTCTGGAGAATATGTTGCATTAGCATATCACTTTTCACAAATGTAAACCAAGATTAGGTTTCGAAAGCCACAAACTTAAACATCGGTACTAATAAAGATCATAAAATAAAAATATATCAATACAAAAAGAAATTAAATTGTAAATAAAAGTATAGAATGAAACGCACGAAATATTTCTATATAAATTGTCGAAAAACATAACTGGGCTAGGTCAAGCCCGCGCAAACCAGTGCTATATAAAGAGCTAACTGAGCCTGTGTTATTCTTTGAAAACATTTTCTCGCCGCAGATTTTCAGCAACCAAACGGCGAACTTTCACTTTCTTCTTACCTCATGTACTGATTTTTGGGTTAGGGTTTGGAATTTGATTCTCTTCTCACTTAAATTTGAAAACTTTCATCTTGTATTTGTATCGTATTTATTCTGATACTGTTGTAGTTGGTTTGATTACAGCTTCCACTTTCTCTGCTTAAAAACAGTGCAAGGCTACCTTATAGTAAAGTAAGGATCTCTCTCAAATTTAGTCTGTTTGGTTACAGAGAAAATTTAGGGAGAAAATAAGGTGCATTTCATTATGTTTTAGCACTGCAAATAAATACGATATACAAAGGAATAAACTTGACAAACAACTGACTGGATTAGCTAAGATGTTTCTAATTATTTCATCCTTGAACAAATTTATTCTTCATCAATAAAATTTTCCCCTCTGAATCTTCTTTGGATGCTTCTTTTATGTTTGATCCATTTGGGACCCTTCCTCCCTCACTCTGTTGTGTTTGTTTACTGGTTAGTATTTGTGTCTTTGTGTGTTGTCTGGGATGATGCAAATTAGCCAAATCATATGTGGATGTGCTCCATGGGCAGTTTTTCCTAAGCTTGTACTGGTTCCTATTTGAGAGGCATTTTGCCAGTCTCTTCTATGGACTTGGTTAGGCTTTTGATATTTGCCTTTTGTAGAAGTGCATCTATCTGATGATAAAACAGAGATAAGGGTTCTTGCTGACCAGAATTTTCCTGTCTTTCTTGAATTGGTTATTTTTGTCACCTCTTCTTTGCTGACCAGAAATTCCAATGATGTAACCTTTTCTTTGTGATACAGACAGGAGGACAGGTGCAGTAAAAAGCTTGTAACTTGCTGCAGAGTTGAGGTGGCTGGAAATTATTGTGGATTGTTTATTGATGTAAAAATTGTTCCAAATTCCAATTATACGATTTTTCCCTTGGAATTTCTCCAGAAAACAAAGGCTAATACAGTCTGTATAGTGATACTTTGAAGCTTAATCCACACACTCCCATGGTACCAATGAATCAACAAGTTATGACTACTCAGTATAAAAACATGGTTTTCTTTTTTTGCTGGAAGAATAATAGAAAAACTGAAATCATAACATGAAACAAAATATTTGTCTCTTATGTTTATCCATGACAGTCATGTTCTGACCTCACGGGTCTTTTCAAAAAAATAAAAATGGAGAGGAGCAATTATACACGCAACTTGGGGATTACTCTAAATTACTATAGTTGAATGGAATGCAACCCATCGCTTTTCCCCTCAAAAAAAAAACAAAAAAAACAAAAAAAACAAAAAAAACAAAAAAAACAAAAAAAACAAGAGGAGCAGAATTACTCCAAATTACTACACTATTCAAAATAAAAAACAAGAGGAGCAGCATTACTCCAGGTTACTATACTAATGGGTTGTTTGTTATTTTGATATATTTATTGAGGACATGATATATTTTATATTTCAATGATTCATTCAATCCTCCAGAGGGTAATTGCAAATTTACAAATATCCATGCAATCAGTCAGTCAGTCATCATCACTATCTGAGAGTGGACTCTGAGTTTAGTTATATAATATATTTTACAAGGAGCTTAGCTTAGCTTTTAGCTGAACTGAATAGCTCACCCTCATCATCAAAGCTCAAACACCGTTGACGTCACAAAATGGCCGAAATCAAAGCCGATACGGCCACTCACCACCACCATCTCAACGTGTCGGAACCCGATATTTCGGACCACAAGCCTTCCAAGCCGAAACGTGTCGCTTCCCTCGACATCTTTCGTGGCCTCACTGTTTCGGTAACTCAAACAAGTTCACTCTATAGTTTACTTTTGTTGCTTCAATTCAGTGTCAAAACCGTAAACAGAAACAGCGTTTTTGAGGTTCTTGTCGGGAGGAAACGAGACTTTTGTTGGCGTTTATGAATTTTTGACTTGGCATAGTTTTCTTCTTGATGATGCAGCTGATGATTTTGGTTGACGATGCTGGTGGAGAGTGGCCTGTGATTGGGCATGCGCCATGGAATGGCTGCAACCTTGCTGACTTTGTAATGCCATTCTTCTTGTTCATTGTGGGCATGGCCATTGCACTTTCTCTCAAGGTTGATTTGCTTTCCTTTCTCTGTTTTTCAATTTTTCCTTCTTATTCAACAAAATGGTAGCATAATATTACAGTACAAATTTGAATTAATGACTTTTCTTCTTATAGAGAATACCAGACCAACTTTTGGCTGTCAAGAGGGTGATTCTTAGAACTTTCAAGCTTCTGTTCTGGGGTCTCCTATTACAAGGTCACTGTCCTTGAAACCTTATATTGAATATATTTGTTTGTTGGGTTCATTTTGACTCCTACTTTGCTTACATTTTTGGCCTTCAAGAGGAAAAAGACATATAAACTAGAGAGTATTATGCATTACCATTATTGATTTCATTCGCTTTTCAGTTTCTAGTCTTATGTGAAAGAAACTCTAATAATATGATGTAGTTTTGTTCCATTTTCCCCCAGCTGAGGGGGTGAGGAAATCTGACATAGCTAAATAGGGGAAAAAAAACATTTCTCATCAAAATCTTAATTGCTTAACACTGCACTGTTTATTGTGATTCAACTGTTGCTCTTTTTATGATGCATCACTTTACGCCACACTTGAAATTAGAAAGTTATTTCGGAATGCCTTGAATGCTACTATTGTTGAGGAGACTTGACTGGCATGGCTGCAGTCTGCAGATATTAGCTTAGATGGTTCCTGTTAAAGAGTTAAAATGTCAACGGTTGACTTGATTAATTCTTTAACAGTTCCTACAAGGCTCCAACATGTGGATGGACTGCTAGGAACTTAAGTTTCTTTTACAAATGAGGCTTAGAGGTCATTGACAAGTTAAAGGTCTCAGAATAATAACCAAAAGCAATAAGGGTCCAGACCTTACTTTGATACTCTCATGTTGACATGCCTTCAATATGTTGTGAAGGAGGTTTCTCACATGCTCCTGACAAACTAACATATGGTGTTGACATGAAAGAAATAAGGTGGTGTGGGATTCTCCAGGTAATTTTGATAATTATATGCATTTGCATGTTGTTGATGTTGATTACATAGTTTAGTTTTATGATGCACTGCAACTTGTAGTAATTCATGTTACCCTTTGTAGAGAATTGCTCTTGCATATCTGGTAGTGGCTTTGATAGAAATTTTCTCAAGAGGTGCACAAACCAAAAATATGGCACCCAGCGGGTTCTCCATATTCAAATTATACTATTGGCATTGGTAATTCTTTTATTTCTATGATGCTATGGTTTTTTTTCCCTATTTGTTATAGTTCTTTCATATTTAGGAAACAATTATGAATGAATTCTCCATTCAAAATTTCCAGGCTGGTGGCAGCATGTGTTCTCACTATTTACTTTGCTGTAATTTATGGGACATATGTTCCTGATTGGCAATTTACTGTCCTTGACAGAGAGAGTATTGATTATGGGAAAAGTTTCACTGTAAGCCTCCAGTTCTCACATCTCATACTTCTACTAAATGATAGGAATCTGCTAAAATCTTTGTAAGAATTGCTGAGTAAGGAAAATTTGAATGTGTTTGAAGCGACAATATATTCTGTGTTTGAGAATTCTTTTCAGTGGCAATATTCATTTATCTACAAGGATTTCTTGTCAATAGGTAGCTTGTGGCGTGAGAGGAAAACTAGATCCTCCTTGTAATGCAGTAGGATATATTGATAGAGAAGTGTTGGGAATCAATCACATGTATCCGCGTCCAGCTTGGAAAAGATCTAAAGTATGTAGTTTAATCTTTTATATATATATATATAGGAGGCGGATCCGTGGCACCATATTTTTAACACAAGTTTTAGACCTTTAGATCTATAAACTTTTAATGGTTGAGATGTACTTTGATTTCTCAAAACAATAAATTTTCTTCAATTAATATTTATACATTGGGATTAAAATTCTCATACCATATTAATTAAGAATTCATTCTCTCTCTCATCTCATTAATTATCTTTAATTAGTTCTTTCCCTTTCCCACTAGACTCTTTTGTTCCTTCGCACCCTCTGCATTTTTTGCTCTCTCTTTCTTCTACATTCATCATCCGCCTGCGATCTTCTCTTCTCTACTAATTAATTTGTGGCTTGAAGCAAATGTGAGGGAAAAAAAAGTAGCTTTATCTTCTATATGGTCTGTTGGAACAAAGAAATCTTCCATATTTTCTCTACTAATTTAGCTTTAACTTTATATTCAACATCTTCATAACCAATATTTATTGAATTTTTTTTTATTATGTGATAAAAATAAAATATTAAGAAGAAGAAACCAATATGATTGTACAATACTACAGATTAAAATATAACATTATTTAAAAAATGTAAAAATTATTGGTGGGAAATTGTTAGATGTAGAGGGGAGATGAATGAATGGAGAAGAAGAGAGAGACACAGAGATGCAGAGGGACGAAGGGCAAGAGCCAAATAGGAAATAAAGAGAATGAAAACTAAGGTGTGTTACTTCCCTAACTCTGAAGTAATTTTGATTGAACAGAAACAAAGACCCAGTTTCTCTCCAACGCCCACAAATTGGCTAGATTAATGTGTGCAACTTGTTGTGTAGATTATTAAAACAGTGATTTATCAATATAAATCTTAACTCTAAGTAATAATTGCTAGTTTGTGATTTAGATGGAATGGTTTGCTGAAATTGGATGGCTAGTTTGTGATTTCAGGGTTACTGAAAAAAGCAAGAAGAAGAAGGGAGGTGGTGTGAATGAGAAGGCACGAAGAAGAGAAGAAGAAGAAGTGCCTTGTTTCAATAAGCCATCAAAACTTAATTAAATGAAGAGAGAGGAAATACAAAAGTCAATTAAAATTTATTTTCTATAAATGCTTATTTAAAGAATAAAATAATTAATTTGTTTAATCACATCAATTGATAGTGGGCTAATCCAAGGGTTTAAAACTTGTGTCAAAAATATGGTGCCGCGGATCCGTGTCAGGTGTAATCAATGCTTATTTTGTTTATATGATTTTCTGATGAAGAGCATATATCAGTGTCAGTTGTAAACGTTTAACCTTCTAGACTCCAAACTGCTGCAGGCTTGCACTGAGAATTCCCCATATGCAGGACCATTTCGACATGACGCTCCATCATGGTGCCATGCTCCTTTTGAACCTGAAGGAATTGTAAGGTAAAAATAACCCTTTCCATTGTTGGACTTTAACCGTTGCGTACTGAACTGGTTTTGGTGTTGTTCAACTACAGCCCAGGGATTAAGCCTCTGAGAAACTTTTTAGAACTTTATATTTATGTCGATTTGTTTCATCCTGCAGCTCTATATCTGCAATTCTCTCCACAATCATTGGAGTACATTTTGGTCATGTGCTTATACAAATGAAGGTCAAGTCTCAAATTTGATATACTTAGAGCTCCCTCGTTAGCATCTGCAAGACTCTTCCTCACTGTTCTCATGTTTCCAACAACAGGGTCATCCAGCCAGACTGAAGCATTGGATCCCAGCGGGCTGTGCTCTCCTTGTCTTAGGAATCATTCTTCATTTCACTCACGGTGCGAACTGAGGCGAAGTGTATGCAGCTATGTTGTGTTTACCAATCAATAATATATTTCTGATGTTTTATGCCCAGTGCAGCAATTCCTTCAAACAAACAGCTATATACATTTAGCTATGTATGTATAACATCTGGAGCAGCAGCTTTGGTGTTTTCAGCCTCCTACATTCTGGTATAGTTTTGTCATGAAAATTTTGATGGTTCTTTTCTTTTTACATGAGATTTCTCAAATTTTCTCTGCTAAAGATCAACATCCTGCAATGCCAGGTTGATATCTGGGGTATTAAGTACCTATTCCTGCCACTGGAATGGATCGGCATGAACGCCATGCTTGTGTATGTTATGGCAGCTGAAGGCATCTTTGCAGGATTCATTAACGGGTGGTATTACGAGGACCCCCATAACACACTAGTATGTTCGAATTCCATATGTTTTTGCCTTCATTTTTCCAATTTAATTTCCATAATTTTTGTACTAATTATTTTTTCATTCATAGTTTGAATTGACTTGTGGCATGGGCAGGTATATTGGATTCAAAAGCACATTTTTGTGGGGGTTTGGCATTCGAGGAGGGTAGGCATTCTGCTCTACGTCCTCTTTGCAGAGATCTTATTTTGGGGCATTGTTGCTGGCATTTTGCATCGGCTGGGCATATATTGGAAACTCTAAATTCTAATCCTATTGTTAGTACCTCTTTAGTTTCAGCCCTGCTGAAGCTTGAACTACTTATGTATGGCTTCCTCAGGTTGAATAATTACCGTGACATTATCTTGTACATATGACATATCGTTGGATGGTAGTGCTCATTGTCATTGAAATTTTCTTGTATAAATGTGTATTGGTTTGGTACCTATTTTTCATTTATCGGTTGTATAAATAAAAAGAAACAAGCAAACGCTCAACAATCCACGAACTTTTTGAGTCCCCTTTTTATTTTGTTTTTTTATGCAGGTGATATTTTACTTTAAACTAATCTAAATTACGGAAGGCGAACCGAGACTACAGTAGGCGTTTTCAACTTTTCCTCATGTGGTCGCTGTTTATTAATTTCTGTGGGTTTTAGGCAAATGCCAAACTGGCACTATAACATTAGTGCCTGTATGTATAAAGCAAAATTCACCTATGCCTTATTCAAATTTAGGAATTTGTATTACAACTGGACCCAAAAAAAAAGGCCGAAGTTTGGGCCCAACAGTACACAAACAAAAACCTCTCTCTCTCTTTTTTTTGTTTTTTTTTTTTGTGGGTGCCAAAGAGAAAAAAGAACAAAAACCTTTTCTTTAAGAACAAGTAGAAGCATAAGCATTCTACTCGCTCCCTCTCTCTGAAATCTGTAGCTGAAAACTCTCTCGGTTTCGATAAAGAAAAGGAATTAATCGGAGTCAGATGGCTACCGGTATGGTAGAAGATACGAGCTTCGAGGACGAGCAGCTGGCCGCCATGACCACCGAGGACATTATCAGAGCCACTCGCCTTCTTGACAACGAGATCCGAATTCTCAAGGTCCCTTCTTTCTCTCTCTCGCTCACTGGTTGTGCTTCCACTTGTATTACTCTAGGGAACTAGTATTTTGAGCGACTTAGGGTTTTTTTTAATCGCTGTCCTATGACTTGTTTAATTCCCAGAATCATCGATTATTTTCAGAATTAATATGAAAGAATTGACTTTGATTTTAGGGTTTCTGTGTAATTTTCTTATGGTTTTATTTGTTTGGGAAATGATACATTTTAAATATATTTCTATACGTTATTTGATGCTTTTTAGTATGTGACTTTGTCTGAATTGGGGGTTTTGGATTTCAATATGTAAATGGTTGTGCGTTTTTCTGATATTGTTTTGTGGGATTGAAGGAAGAAATGCAAAGAACAAATTTGGAGTTGGATTCATACAAGGAGAAGATAAAGGAGAATCAGGAAAAGATTAAGCTCAATAAGCAGTTGCCTTACTTGGTAGGCAACATTGTTGAGGTAAGAATTTCTTTCTCTTAATCTCAATTATTTTCGTGGAAAGTATATACATAAACAAAATTTTGGAGAATAGTGTTTAACCTAAGTGCGCTGAATTGGAGAACTTGGCTCCTTCTGTTTGTCATCTCAACACAGCATTAATTGTGGTTGTATAATGAGTGTATGAAGATGTGAATTAAATCTTTAGTGTTCCTGAAACCAGACTTATTGTGGTCAATCTAGCTACTCTTTCGTTGGTCTTTCTAAAATTATCGATATACTATATGGAGAACTTTAAGCAGTTGAGTTGATGTTAAGCTTTTGATGGCAAGTGAACTTCGTATCAATTTTTTTTGTTAAGTCTTAGGCTCTTATTGGATTTTTTCTTTTCTTTTCTAGATTCTGGAAATGAACCCAGAAGACGAGGCTGAGGAGGATGGTGCAAATATTGATCTTGACTCACAAAGAAAGGGGAAGTGTGTTGTTTTGAAAACATCTACTCGCCAGGTAAGCCAGCTGAGTAATGTTTTATATATATTCTTTTATCTCACTAGCAAAGCCAATGAGTGTGTTTACTTGTATCATTTATTTCTTTTCTTTAACAGCATTTTGATTTTATGATATGTGTTGATTATCATATTAGATGCATTGTTCACTAGCCGAATATGGGTTTTTGCTTTACTGCAGACAATCTTCCTGCCTGTTGTTGGGCTTGTTGATCCTGATAAGTTGAAGCCTGGTGATCTTGTTGGTGTGAACAAGGATAGTTACCTGATCTTGGATACTTTGCCATCCGAGTACGATTCTCGAGTAAAGGCTATGGAGGTCGACGAAAAACCGACTGAAGACTACAATGACATTGGAGGGCTAGAGAAGCAGGCAAGTTTCCAGATTTTAGGCATGCTCTGTTGAGTACCAAACATTTTGATGTTGTACTCTAATTTTTTTTACTGTAACAGATTCAAGAACTGGTTGAGGCGATTGTTTTACCCATGACCTATGGACCTCCTGGAACTGGTAAAACATTAATGGCTCGGGCTTGTGCTGCACAAACCAATGCTACTTTTCTGAAACTGGCAGGCCCACAACTGGTTCAGGTATAGAAAAATTTGATATAATTATTACTAGTATCGTTTTCTTTTCATTGAATTCAAGGTTATATGCATGTACATGTTTAGCATGGGTGGCTGATTTTGAAACGATTTTGAGAATGCCTCTAATGCACTCTTTTCATAGTTTGATTATCTTCATTTTGGCTTAGCCTTTGTTTGTTCTTCATAATACTGATCCTTTTGCTCAGATTAGAGAAGGAATCGTCTATTTCTTAAAATTATTTTGCATTAGAGGTTCCTACATCCTGAAGAATTGAATTATTTGTTTGTGAACTCTAGGTTTTCTGAGATATAAATCAGTTGTTTCATAGATTTTCCTTTGTCTTACCTGTTTCTAATTAGGAGGAAATGATCCTTGTATCCTTTATGGGAGAGTAAATGATCTCTGTATGACCTAGCTCTCTATGTTTAAATATGCTCAACTATTGTATTAGCAATCATTTTTGACGATGTTAGTGAACTCTAGATTTTCTAACTTGGTGCTTAATGAAGTAATCATACTTGGAGTTCATGTAGATGTTCATTGGGGATGGAGCAAAACTTGTTCGTGATGCCTTTCAGCTTGCAAAAGAGAAATCCCCCTGCATCATTTTCATAGATGAAATTGATGCAATTGGCACAAAGCGATTTGATAGGTATACTATATTTCCTCAGCAGCCATTTCTATGAATTATTTTCATATAGATAAGAAATATGTACTTGGATGTTGTTGGCCAATTTGATCACTGCATTCTTTCCTGATTGAAATTTATTCTCTCATTGTTGGTTACAGTGAAGTGAGTGGAGATAGGGAGGTGCAACGTACAATGCTTGAACTGCTTAATCAGCTTGATGGCTTTAGTAGCGATGATCGGATCAAGGTTTGTTTATCCTTGTTTGTAGTGTATTCACTTTTCCTTCAACTATGATTCACTTGGGAACTCTTAGTAGATGTTTCAGCCTTTTTACTTTCTGGGCATCTACTACTTAGAGAACGTCTGCTTTATTTTGGTAACGTTACCAATTTCATTGACTTAATTGCAGGTGATAGCAGCAACAAATCGTGCTGACATCCTGGACCCTGCTCTTATGCGTTCTGGTCGGTTGGATCGTAAAATTGAGTTTCCACACCCCACGGAAGATGCAAGAGCTAGAATTCTGCAGGTTTGTCTTTTACAATGCCTGATGTTTCGTGATTACTTTTCCGGTTGGAAGCATTCTTATTAAAACCTTTTTGTTAATTTTGTAGATTCACTCGAGGAAGATGAATGTCCACCCAGATGTGAATTTTGAAGAATTAGCTCGGTCTACTGATGATTTCAACGGTGCACAACTAAAAGCAGTGTGCGTGGAGGCAGGCATGCTGGCTCTGCGTCGGGATGCAACTGAGGTTAGTTGCTCTCATCTTTATTTGTGTGGTATTCTTGAACCTGCAGTACGAAGTGTACTAATCATCAGTGTTGTTTTGGTTCTACTACAGGTCAACCACGAAGATTTTAATGAAGGTATCATTCAAGTTCAGGCGAAAAAGAAGGCGAGCCTCAACTATTACGCATAGAGTGGGTGGGTTCTCAAAGGGTCATCAAGCCTAGTACAAGTTCCAACTTTTAAGTTTATGCACCAGAACCATACCCTCGTGTAATTTGATCTATTGACTTGTAGTAATTTGTGTTTGTTTTTATAACCAGTAATGGATAGACGGTAGACCACTGCACTTCAGCATTTTTTGCAGTGACACTTGAAAGTTAAACCAACCCTTTTTCTCAATTTTTTTTATAAAAAAAAATACAAGTTATGGTGAACCTTTTAAATAGCATTCAAAACTAAGAGACTAATAAAAATTTGTACATGTATCACCACCATCCAAAGGCATTATTAACACACTATTTCCTTCGAACCATAAGCCAGGTAGATAAATGTTGGGTCGGTGGCACCTTCCATGTAGTATGCAAAAACTATGCTCCCATCATCATCCATGCTCTCCCCCGCAAAACTGACACCACAAACCAAACCCACAAACTCACGCAATCAATTAAATCTTAGATTAAAAGTAAGTAGACAAATTAACCAAATTGGTTGAATTAGCAAGCAGGTGGAGAAAAGAACGTACATACAATTGGAGGTTGCTGAGTTTAGAGATCAAGAATTTGGTGGCCCCCTCAATATATATGCTTCCTCAAAAGCTCTTGGTGTCAACAACTTCATGTACCTCTTCATGAATGTCACAAACTGCTTTTTGTCCATAGCTGGTTGCTCCTATTCCTGACAAAATATAGAGTATAACAGAATGAACCATTTTGTTTTTAAGTAACTATATAGAAGAAAAACATGCTTGATTATCAAAATGATTAATGAGTAATTATCTAGCTTCACTCACCTGAAGCCTGAAGGTATCAACAATGTCAACAACCCAAAGAAAGAAGCTCATCACCTGACCCATAACATGAGTCTAAGCATCATCATTTATCTAAAATAACTTGGCATCAACAACACAAATCCAAACCCAAGAGATTACCTGACAATCAATAAATAAATGGTTGTAAATCTAAGCAATAAGATCTCCTTAAGAACATTATTCCCAGTAAATTTCTACAGGTGAAACTTTTTTCCATCAAAACCTACTCTAAAGTTTGCTTCAGAAGTACTTTTCTATTCTCGTTTCATTGACTTTCTAAGAGATAGAAAGAACATGACAATGAAACGAAAATAAGGAAGTTTTGCTCGATGAGACCAAAAATTGTAAAGAAAAAGAAGAGCATTGAGGCAGTTAGTCCGGATACACAAGCATGTTTACTTGGTTTTTGTTTGCGTGACTTGGTTCAATTTATCAGAGCAACAGAGACTGTTTCGGAGCTCAGATGCTGTGAGTATTAATAGATTAAATAGCGTAACGGAAGCGTAATGGTGCAGAAGTTGAGCTGCGACAGAATTACTAAAATGGGTTCTTGTTTTCAATAGAATTGCGGTTGCTGTCCTTTTACTGTAAACTTGGTTTGACCAAGAGTCTTCGAGCGAGCGGGCCCAAGATTCTCCCCTCGGTGTCAGGGAAAAGTTCCTGCACGATTCAATGTGGTACTGGATCAGATGACGTTCTTTTGTAGGCCCCACATGCAGTACTCTTCTGGACTGATCATAGCCGTTGCTTGCACCATGTTACAATATATGACGTGACTTGGGCTTGCTGATACGGCATATGACGGGCCCCACCTTGGCTCAAAAATCATGACGGTGCAGGGTGATAATAATTTTTTTCCCAATATGCCTTTCTTTTTTTCTTTTTTTTGGGTGAAAATATATGCCTTTCTTTTACTACTTGTTGCTGGTACTACAAATATATAATTGATAGAATTCACCAAAAACAAAAGTTGATTAGAAGTCCTTGCTAACGTTTTTTTTATTTGATTTCTACCAAACAAAAATAATGCTCACAGAACAATTGTTATACTTATAGGCTATATGGATTTTGGAATGATAAATATATCTATATTATTAATTTTGGGAGAGTACAATAAATATATTCTCTCTTACACGGACGATTCAAACGTTATTATAGTGCAAATATATGTATTTTTTACTATCCTTTCATGTTTACAAGAGCATAACTATCAAGAGATTGTACTAGGCTTTAGTTTGGTGCTGAGTTTCACTTTAGGCTTAAATGTATTTTTTTTAAATGCAGTACAATTAAATATTAGCCTACTACCTCATAGCCGCACATAGTATATTTTTTTAATTATTTTTTAAAAAACATTAGAACATTAAAATAACACAACTTGCACTTTTTTTTCCTGCTCCATTATTATTTGTCGGTGGTCAAACTCAAATACAACGTTAATATATTAGAACATCATTAAATCAATGTTACCAATTTATTCCCCAATATGCATGCAATCTAAGGTATTAACTCACCTTTATTTCTCAAGTTTCTGATATTTATTCATTGGTTATTTGTTTGCTAATTAATTGACACCAATTTTTAGTTCCATTGATTTATGTTTTTATTTATTTATTTGGTTGTACTTATTTGTGTTAGTGTTTGGAAAATGAATTACTAAATTTAACTAGACTATACGCCTCATTCGAGTTTAGTATTTTGTTTTCGGGTTCAGGGCCCCCTACCGAAATATAAAATTTAGACAATTTAAATCATTATATATTATATTATAGAAGAAGTATAAATAAATAATTAGCCATTGCAAGGACCTCCTCATAGAAGAAATATATATATGTTTGTTCACAAATTCTTACTTTTATAATATGAAAAATTAAAAAAAAAAATTGAGGGTAAGTCCAACCAATCAATGAAACTCACCCTGTTTTTTTTTCTCAAATTCTTTTAATTTCTTGTATTATGTTACTTATCAAGGGATGAGAGAGATAGGAAAAAGCGAACAGTACAACGTGATAGATAAGTTTTTCTCCGATGGAAAAAATAAAAACGAATGAAACTGTTTAGAAAAGTAGACTAAGAATATAAACAAATGGCACCGAATATTCGTGGCATGCGGACTGAGATGTTTCCATTACTTAGTCAATGAAAGCTGAGTGGGATAAGAATAAAGGCACGCAATAGAACGCACATGATCATTATAAACCTTGACCATCTAGTTGGGAATCGGTTTTCAGACCGTCCATGATATCATCAAATATATAAAGATAAAAGAAGGCTACCATCCAATTATGTTTGGATCTTGAACAGTGAACACCACCATTTTTAACCCACTCCCTTTGTATAGTTTTACAAAATCTGAAGGAGAAAAGCCAGTGGGAATAAATAGAAAATGAAGGTTCGTACTCGGTTTATGAATAACGAACAGTCACTCACACGCACGTAAACGACTGTTTCTCATAATTTGCCCTAAAAGGGTTATACTCCACAAGTGGGACACATAGGATGCAATTCAGCGTGACCCCATTAACTCTTCTGACTCTTCAAGCTTAGGACAGATTTTTGAAAGTTGACGGAGATAATGCAGAGGCAACAGAAAGATAATTACTGTCTTTTGGGTTCTTGTTATAGTGCTTTTCAGTTTTTATGATTGCCTTTTCCTTTTGACATATGCATAGCACATAGCAGGAGAAAACCAAACGCGTGTTGTTTTTGAGCGTTTTTGTTAAAAAGCAATTGAACAACGCGTGACATGACCAAACCCACTTGGCAATTGCAGGATTTGTCGATGCATGCAAGTAAACACACAACGACAACAAGATACCAGGAGATTAGGTACTAATACGGTCAAAATTTCAGAGTTGGCATTGTCTTTTTCTTTTATTTATTTTGAAAATTTCATTGAGAATTTTACTTTTTATCAATTCATTTACAATCATGAAGACCATCACCTAAATCTGTGGGGTTGGTTTTTCGTTTTTATTTTAATAAAAAAATTATTAGTTGGAAAAATCCAACACATGACCGAAAGAAATGCTTTTAACAACTGAAAAATAATAATTAGAAACATAAGAGAAAATGCATGGGTAGGAGATTAAATACACCCACAATTAATTTTCTTTCTGATTTTGTAGGCATTGTATTATGAATTTTAATATGAAACTCAGGAGAATTTTAATTTATTACGTGTTAGTAAACACATGCAAAAATTATAATGGATTCCAATACTAAAATTACGTATTAATAAACGCATGAGAAATCATGAACTAGAATTGATTCCAATACCGAAATCGGAAATGTAAATAAGTCCAATGCATATTTGAGGTAAATATCAACATGGGCCAGAAGCTCATTGCAAAGTGTGCGATGATTACTATGTCATTCTTAATTCTCTTACCATATGAGTAAATTTGCATACATCCCAATCATTTTCAATCAACAGTATTATACCAAAAATACACATTGATCAAATAGAGTGCAGACTCACAAGGAAGCTTTGCTTTATTTTGGAACTTACATTTTAGGCAATGCATTAATTGTGAATGAGTTGGAAAAAAGTAGGAAGGAAAAAAGTGACTTGTACTTGTATAGCAATAGCATCTTCCTAACTTAAAGCTCAAGAAAATATATAAGCATTTAAAAATGAACCCGACCCGACAACCCGGGTCACAATACCGAAAATTTCCCCTTTTTGGGTCCCATTACCAAAACTTTCTCTAACCCGAGAAAATAGAAACAAAATCTTATCTAACACCAAAAAAAATAAAAAAATAAAAAAATAAAAGAAAAAATGGGAAAGCGTTTGAGACAAACAACAACGTCGTCAACAAAAATCAAACTGCAGGGAAATCTCGAAACTCAATCACAGCCGTTGATCCGGCTCATTTTGGACAGCGGTTATTGCGCCCACCTTAACCAAAGTCCACCATCCAACGGCCCGAAACACACGACTCAGAGATAGAGAGGTCGAGCGACAGAAAAGAAGAGATTTATCGATTGATTGTCCATCAAAATTTTTTTTTTCCTCCACATCCAGGAACAACCATCTCTGACGACTGACCGTCTCCTAGTCTCTGCTTCGATCCTAACGACGTCGTCTCGTTTCGTCGTAATTACCAAACCAGACGCTGTGTTCCCGCCAGATTTACTTCGTCTCGTCTTTTTTTTGCGCGGTTGAGGAAGAGAGAGAGAAACCGCTAGACGCCGGCGAAACGGAATTTAGGGTTTTGAGGGCCCGATTTGGGGGTTTCTATGGGGCTCGGAAGCGATGAAGAGGTCGTCGTTGAAGACAGCGATGGTGTTGGTGGTGGCGGTGGTTGTGGAGGCAAGTCGTACGGAGGCTCTGTCTCCTGCTCGATTTG